TGGTCGTTCCTACCCGTTATTGTCATACTGGTCCCTTCTCTCACTGCCCTTTGCCCCTCACACACTCTGGCAAGCTTTCAACCATTGACCAGTTCTCCTGGCCTTGGATATTAGTCTCATCCTACTTTTTTTATAGCCCAGATGGTGATATTGAAGGTAGCAGTGGTGGCAGAGGAGGCAGTGTGATGGTTATGATCATAGATGGTGGTACGGATGCCGACAATGGTGGCGGTGATATTGGTAGTCATGATGGTGTAGATGGCACGGCAGTAACCATGAGGACAACAATAATGGAGGTGATGATGATAATGATCGTGGTGACAGTGGTGGTATGAGAGATGGTGGTGGTCTGGCAGTGATGATGGTGGTGGAAAGGGTGGTGGTGGTGGTGATCTGTTGGTGGAGGTGTGATGGTGGTGATGGATACACTAACAATGGTGCTGGCAGTTGTGGTGATACTGGTCATCATAGTCATGAAGGACATGGTATGAAGTTATATGATGATGACCACCATGGTGGTACTGATGATTCTGGGGCAATGATGGTGGTTGTGACAGTGACAATGATGGTGGTAGTGGTGATGTTGGTACTAGTGATGGTGGCAGAAGTGGTATGGCGGTAATCATGATGGGGGAGGGGATGATGACAGCAGGATCGGTGTCATGACGGTAGCTGGGGGGACGTTGATGATGACGGCGGCGCTTATCATGCCCCTAAGGACCCTGCAACATGACGTCACATCCAACTTTCCCTCCGGGAAAGTGGCAGAACCAGGAATCCAAGCAAGGTTCGCTACTTCCCAGCACACTATTTCACAGAGAACAGAGAGCCGTGCCGGGACCTTGAAGGGAAAGCTATTTGCACCCTTGAAGATGCGTCTCCCACCTTTAGCTCACTGCCATGCGAGATTGTGCAGAGCTAAGCTGCACGCGCTCTGGAACACCCTGTGACCACAGATTTGCTGTGAAATTGTCTCAAGGAATAAAAAAGATCTTCCCTCTCCGGGGCCTCTCACCAGCCTCATCCAGCACTTTCTTTTTTTCTTTTTTTTAATTAAATTTATTTATTTATTTTGAATACCCATCCCTCCACCAGTGCCCATTTCCCACCACCACGGATCCCAGTAACCCTCCCACCCCCCATTCCATCCCCATCCCACCCTGCCTCTGTGGCAGGGCACTCCCTTTTGTTCTCTCTGTCCTATTCGGTGTTGGCTTTGTGAAAGAGTTAAGCCTGATTTTCAGGGAGAAACGTTGGAGAATTAACTTTCCATTGACCACTTTATATATGAGAAGATGTCACTTGGCCGCCTAGGCGGCCGCGTGGTTTGGAGTAAGAGTCCTGGTTCCCGCATGCCCGAGCTATGCTTGTAGAGGCTCATGGTCACTGGGGTTCCCTCTGGAGGAGGCGGGATGCGGCACCTACCCCATCTGGGACTTCCCGGTGATCTCGGCTCTCTTCGGGACCAGGAGTATTCTCGGTAGCTGTGGAGGCCCCCCCGCAGACTTTCTTCTCTGTGACTGTGTGCTGTAAAGATGGCGCACCCAGCACTTTCTTAAGCAAAAAATTTAAAAAATTATTTATAAATCGAGAGGCTTTTCCCTAACGTGAGATGAGAGGCTGGAGTGATAGCACAGCTGGTAGTGCATTTGCCTTGCACACGGCCAACCTGGGTTCGATTCTCAGCATCCCATATGGTCCCCCAAGCACCGCCAGGAGTGATTCCTAAGTGCAGAGCCAGCAGTAGGCCCTGTGCATCCCCGGGTGTGACCCAAAAAGCAATAAGTAAATAAATAAATAAATGTAACGTGAAACAAGAGCTCACATCCACCCCACTGTGAGAGAGCTCCCAGAGGGTTGAGCATGTGCTTTGCATGTGGGAGGTTGGACGGACCCCCAGCAGTGTGGGCTCCCCTGAGCACCACCTGGAGCAAGTCCTGCAGACAGAACTGGGAGTTGTCCCAAAACCCAGCCAGGTGTGACCTGGAAACAAAAGCAGAAAAAGATTGTGTAGGCTGTTTCTTTCTTCCCCTGTCTCTCATGGGGCTCCCGCAGCTGAAGGAAGGAAAGGAAACAGTGCACACCCCAGATGCTCAGTGACTAGGGCCTCACGGTTGCCCCCTCCCCGGAAACTGGGGAGAGTCTGGGGTGGTCTGGGAGCTCTGCCTTTATTAAAGCCCTGGGTTTAAAGCAGGCAGACAACTTCTATGAGGGGAGGAGGCTCGGTAGGTCCTACAGGGAGGAACCAGTTGGTTGGAGACTTTGGAAGGCCATTAAAATCCCAGTGGGTCAGGGCTGGAGTGATAGCACAACAGGTAGGGTGTTTGCCTTGCACGTGGCTGACCCAGGTTCAATTCCCATCACCCCATAGGGTCCCCCCAGCACCACCAGGAGTAATTCCTGAGTGCAGAGCCAGGAGTGAGCCCTGTGTATTGCCAGGTGTGACCCAAAAAGTCAAAAACAAAAAAGGTCTCTCTAAGCCACTCCCTGGGACCACCTTACATAGGGAGTTGGCTGGTGAGCGAGACACGCCCCCATGTCCAGAAATCATGGGCCTTGAGTCCTCCTGTTTTGTTCTTCTGCTGGAAGCACCAACACAGACACACCCCCTCCTCCCACTCCCATCCCAGGCTGGCAGCAGGCACCGCCCCGCTTTGGTAGGGGACCCTGTCCTGGACAGACAGGGCAGAGGAGAGCTGATGTCACCCGGGTCAGTTCCAGAAATGCTCTCAGGGCCATTTTCTGGGAAGCTTCTCCTGGAGACTCACTTCCTCCGGTCCCTTCTGTCCAAAGCGCTTCCTTATCTTCCCGACCCCCACAGGCCGACTTGGTTCTTTGCCTCCTGCAAAACTCTTCAGGCTTCGGGACTGTGTCTACATTCTGGACACTGTGATCCTGGGTCAGTGACCAGTCGCTGTCCCGCCCTCTGCTTCTCACTTGGTCTTCTTCTCCCCACCTCCCGCTCATCTCCCTCTCGTTCTCCTACTTTCTGGTTGAGCAGGTATAAATATTACCTCCACCAGGGAGGCCTCCATGTTGGCCCCCATCTGAATTCCATGCCTTCCTCTACGCTCACAGTCATCATCATCATCATCTCGGTCACCCTCCCTGCCACCTTTCAGGGACTCTTCTTGCTTCTCTGAGCACAGCACTGTGGCTGGCACACAGGAGATGCTCAGAAACTCTAGGTCAAGGGGCATAAGCAAAGGACCGGGAAGGACAGGGATCAGGAAGTGAGAGGGGAAGGAAGGAGAGAGGCCTGAGCCCTTCTCAGACCCAACCTGTCCCGAATACTTTCCATCCGAGATCTGCTGTGCCCAGCATCCCTGACTCTACCGCTGATCCTGGATTATTATTAATTAATTAATCCTAGCTTCTTCCTGGATTATTAACTGTCCATTGCAGCCCTGGTTTTCAGTGTTCAGGTCCTGTCCTGCATTTCAGTCTTTGAAAAGAGTGTGATCCTTTAGTGCTCGGAAGTGTGGGGACAGGTCGGAGCATCTTTCCTGCCTCGCTCTCTGTCTCACATCCCTGACCATCATCAATAGGTTTTGAGGAATTGGCCACACAGTGGATGGAACCAGCCTCTCCCCTTCCCTGAAGATGCCTGTTTGGTTAGCAAGCTGACTGCTCGGAGCTTCCTCCTGCCTCCGTGCTCAGGGCTCACTCCTGGTGGGGCTCAGGAGACTACCTGGGGTGCCAGGGATTAAACACAGATGTGCTGTATGTAAAGCAAGTGCCCTCCCCACTGTACCATTGCTCTGGGCCCCCAAGTTCTGGATCGGAGAGTAGAAGAAGCATCCCTGGTCCCTGTCGTCAGCCCAGGACCCAGCACCCGGTCTGCCTCCACCATGAAATGGTCATAGATACTCACTCCTGGTTCTGATCAAGGATTACTTCCGGCAGTGTTAGGGAGACCATATGTGGTACTGGGCGTCGAATTCAGGTCAACACCAGCAAGGCAAGCACCCACTGTGCTATCACTCCTGCACTAAACTTTATTATTATTTTTTTGTCATTAACTGGAAGAACAATTGTACTATCCCACATTTCTACTGGTTTAAATAGAACAGATAAGGGCAAGAAGATTAATATAAGCTTATCATATAATGACTTTTGAGCAATTATGCAGCATAATAAAAAGATATTTTAAAGTTTTGGGTAAGCTGTGGGCTGGAGCGATAGCACAGCGGTAGGGCATTTGCCTTAAAAGCAGCCAAGATGGCCGACCCAAGTTCGATTCCTCCGCCCCTCTCAGAGAGCCCAGCAAGCTACCGAGAGTATCTCGCCCGCACGGCAGAGCCTGGCAAGCTGCCCGTGATGTATTCGATATGCCAAACACAGTAACAACAAGTCTCATGATGGAGACGTTACTGGGCCCGCTCGAGCAAATAGATGAACAACAGGAGGACCGTGACCATGACCGTGGGTAAGCTGTGTAAAATAAAGAGAAAAAGTAAAAGAGAAAAAAAGGAAACGATCATGGATGCTGAACTGGATGAACGGGGGAGGTGATTCTACTTCTAAACATCCACCTCTGCCAGAGACTCTGCGTAGGGAAGCCCATTTTCCAGATGAAGCCAAACTTTCATCAGTCTGTGTGTCAGGCTTGCTGCCAGGGTGAGCCTGTCCGGTTCTCCTTTGCAGTCCATGCCAACCTGCTTTCTGACCCATTGCCCTCTTGGGAGCAGGCACACAGTCTGTCTCCAGAAAGTGTGTGGTACATATGGGCCGGAGACACAGTCCAGGGGTGATGCCACTAGACTTGCAGCCGTCCTACCCTGAGCACATCGTCAGCACCACCTATGGTCCCCCGAGCAGCACCAGTGGTCACTCGTGAGCACAGAGCCAGGAATAGTCTGAAAACAACTGGGTGTTGCCCCAACACCAGGGAGAAGAGAAGGAAAAACGTGTGTGATGCCTGAAAAAAAATCAAAGACTGGTGAAATGCTTGTGGCTTTGCCTCAGCCCACCCGCTCTTCTCTCTGCCCCTCTTCTAGCCTGAACCTGAGTAACAGCGACATCCTGACCATCTATGACGGAGACGAGCTCATGCCCCACATCCTGGGCCAGTATCTTGGCAACAGCGGCCCCCAGAAGCTGTACTCCTCCACCCCGGACCTGACCATCCAGTTCCACTCGGACCCCGCCGGCCTCATCTTTGGGAAGGGGCAGGGATTCATCATGAACTACATAGGTGGGTGTTTCTCAGAGCATCACTCTGTACGTGCGTAGATGCAGGTGACGGTGATTTCTTCTGCATAGTGTTGGAGGGAGGGGGTATTTAACGCTGTGTGGGAAATACCATATACTCTGTGTGTGTGCGTGCATGCAACCTTGGGGAACTCGCTGCTCCTCTCTGAGCCCCTTTGTGTCCTCTGTCCTCTGACCACCCCACAAGGTGGACAACAGGAGTTGTCCTGGGGCAGCTTTCACACTCCATAAGGCATCGTGTTTCTTTCATCGCATTTGGTTCAGTGTCAGCTGGGGTTATTACCTCCCTGATTCCCCCAAATCACAGTGAGTCTCCAAAGCCTGAGGTCCACTGTCTGGCCTGGCCTGGAGCTCAACTCACCCCACAGGCCTCCTCTGCCCCCACCCCAAGGCACAGAAACAGCCTTTCTCTCCACCCCACCCACTGTCAGACCTACCCAGACTCCTCTAATCTCCTTGATCTTCAGCATCGCCGTTTCTTTCCCTGCATCTTACTATCGCAGAAAACTAACGCACTCCTAAGTCAAGCTAAGTGCTCAGGATCATCCACTGCCCCTTCTAGAGGTTCCATCTCTTCACACCCTTCCCTCTTCTCTCTCCAGTAACTCACCTTCATCCCGGCACCTCTTACTTCCTCTTTTACACCAGTCTCTTTTACCCATAGCACATCAGAAGTGCTGATCCATGAATCCCCACCCACGAATCCACAAATCTCCATCCACAAACCCACGAATCTCCATCCACAAATCCACACATCCCCACCCACGAATCCACAAATTCCCATCCACGAATCCACAAATCCCCATCCAGGAATCTCCATCCACAAATCCACAAATCCACAAATTCCCATCCACAAATCCACAAATCCCTATCCACGAATCCACAAATTCCCATCCACGAATCCACAAATCCCCATCCACAAATCCCCATCCACAAATCCATGAATCCCCATTCACAAATCCACAAATTCCCCCATAAACGAATGCACAAATCCCCAGTTAATTCCTCCAACCTTGACCTCACCAGTAAGTTCCAGATGGCTCCCTGCTCACCCCTCCCCTATGCACCTCATTGGTGGCTCTATTGGCTTCCTCCAGGCCACCAATACCCTCTGCGCCCATCCCTTCCATAGCTGCATCCTCTATTCTAGGGTCTCACGGCTGCTTGCCCCTCTTGAGGACAGCTCCCGGCCTTGATTTCCATGGTCGGTCTCAATCCCGAAAGCTTCCCTCCACCATTCTTAGCTCGGGGCTGCTTCTCACACAGAGTCAGGAGCTCTGGCCACTGTGACGTCCCCTTGATCCCATCCCCAGCGGGGCAGTTCACTGCACCCCGAGTATTCCAGAGCACAATGCAGCCTCCATCAGGGAGGGAGGAGTATGCTTGTAGCTCCCAGGCCTGAGTTTGGTGGAACAGGAAAGGGGGTGGGCACAGCTGATAACCCTCCCCATTACCCCTCCCCCCATCAGCCCACCCTGTGCGGCTAAATCCCTCTGCCCTTCTCTCCTCCCCAGTTTGGAACTTTGCACTTCTCCTTCCCACTCTCCTCCTGTCTTCCTCCTGCCTCTAACGTACAAGTCTCTCCCCTGGCCATCCGCTGCCTCGCAGAGCCTGTAGCTCGTGATAATAAATCCCTTATTTGTTTGTTTTTATTTCCAGCTGGTGGGCATTTCTCACCTCTGCCAGAGAGGCGAACACAAGTGTTGATTTCTTTTATGTTTCTCAGGGGCCTTTTTACCCTGGATCGTGCTGCTAAATGTTTTCAGCGTGTTCTCCTGGCTGCTTCCACAGGTTCCCTGGTCTAGCCTTGGCGGGGCAGGGGGGCACGTGGCTCCCGGTGGCTGCTCCGTGAGATGTCCCCAACCCTCAGTGCCTTTGTTCCTTTTGTCTTTGTCGGGTTGGTTGATTTGGTTGGTTGGTTTGGGGGCCACGCCGCTTACAGTGGTGCTCAGGAGGTCTTCCTAGCTTTGTGCTCAAGAGTGACCCCTTGCGGTGCTTGGGGATCAGACTGTGCAGGGGATAAAGCTGGGGTCGGCCCCATGCTTAGTAAGCGCCCTACCACCTGTGCTATGTCTCCAGACACGCTCAACTGCCGTTGGAGGGACGCTTACTGGTGCTTTGGCCTCAGTCCTTAGAGATGCCCTCCATCCCTGCCTCAGGATGAGCTCACAGGTTAGCTCCTTACTGTCATCTGGTGCCCGAAACAGACTTTCCCGTCCTGTCTTCAGCTCCTCGGCAGGAATCCCACTCTCAAGCGCGAAGCTGAACCAGCAAGTCCAGGAGGTTGGCAAGTCGTAAAGAGAAGGTTCTCTTGATCTCCCAACCTGACACTCTGTCCGACCCAGGAAGCTATTTCAAGGGGGCAGGACCTCTGAGGTGGATCACTGAGTGCCATCCTTACACAAGTCACTGGGTGCCATCCTTACACAAGTTTCCCCCATGTTCCAGACTATGGTGCCCCAAAAATCTCTTTGCACTCCTTGATGTCTGAGATCCTGCCCTAGAATAAAGGAAGAAATAAAATTCTCCCTTGGCCTCGAGCCAGCGAGTGGAATGGGTGGATGACAATATCAGGGCCCTGAGCTGATGTCGAAAGCAGCTCAACTCATAGAGGTGGTCCCTGAGGGACATCTGTCCTGACCATGTGGTTGACTCAAGAGCGTCATGGGACAGGAGCAATAGTACAGTGTGAGAGGGTGTTTGCCTTGAGCACAGCTGACCCAGATTTGATCCCTGACATCCCGTATATATGGTCTCTTGAGCACCACCAGGAGTAATTCCTGAGAGCAGAGCCAGAACTAACCCCTGAGCATCACTGGTGTGATAAGAAGATAAGAAGCCCCCCAAAAAAGAGGGTTCGGTTCCTTTTGTTCATCTGTCTATTTGCCCCTCTCTCTCTCTCTCTCTCTCTCTCTCTCTCTCTCTGTGCAGGGATTGAACCCAGGGTCAGCCATGTGCAAGGCAAGCACCTCACCCCCTCACCTGCTGTCTTATCACTCTAGCTTCTGTTCTTCCTTCCCTTTGATTGATGCATGGCTGGTCTTGCTGAAAGGCAAACAAGTCTCTGTATTTAACTGTGATGCCAGCCAACGGCCGGTGGCTTCCTCTGTCGAAAGGCCCCATGGAGGGCCGGAGCCATAGTGCAGTGGGAAGAACTTGCACACGCTGACCCAGGTTCGATCCCCGGCTTCCCATATGGTCCCCCAAGCACAGTCAGGAGTGATTCCTGAGTGCAGAGCCAGGAGTAATCCCTGTGCATCGCTGGGTGTGACCCAAAAAGGGGAAACAAAGGCCCCATGCAAAGACTTCAGAGGAGGATGTGACCCAAGTCAGTGAGGAAGAATGGCCCCACTGATGCCCAGTGCCTGCCACGGTAACTGGCGTCCAAGGGGGCTTTGCTCTCCAGGGTGTAGATTTGTTTCACTTGTTTGGTTTTGGTTCTTTTTGAATTGTTTTGTTGTTGTTGCTGTTGTTGTTTTGGCCACACATGGCCATGCTCAGGGCTCACTCCCGGTTCTGCACTCTGGGGTCACTCTCCTAGCAGGGCCAACTTGGGGTGACGGGGATCAAACCCAGACAGGGCCTAGATTCAACCAGAGCCTGAAGCAGCTGGCATCAACAAGGCCTGGGGAGCTGGGGGTGGGGTGAACCAATGATAGGTCCAGGAGGTCATCTGGCAAATTCTTGAGCTCCAGCATGGACTGTGACCTAAACGCAACTCTAGGAGGTACCCCAGGCTCTGGGACCCTCCCTTGGAAGGTCAGGGTCACTAGTGAGTGCAGCCTACTTGGGTGTGACCCCCCCACAATCCACTCAACACATAAAGAAGCAAAGCCTCCCACCCACCGCCCACCCCCCATTTCCCTCGCTGTTTCTGATGCTTCACCAGGGTTGACTGCTAATTGCATGGGAATTTTTTTTTTATTAGTGAGACACCATGAGGTACAGTTGTAGACTTACAAATTTTGTGCTTGGGTTTCAGTTATACAATGATCAAATACCCATCCCTCCACCAGTGCCCATTTCCCACCACCACGGATCCCAGTATCCCTGACACCTCCCATCCCCCCATCCCACCCTGCCTCTGTGGCAGGGCATAGTCCCGCTAACATGCTAGGGGAAAAGGGAGCTCAGATAGAGAAGGGAGCACCAAGTAAAGGGTGTTGGGAGGATCCTCCCAGGATGGGAGAAGCATGCTGAAAGTAGACTATAGACCGAACATGATTGTCACCCATTGCCTCTTTTGCAAACCACAACACCCAATAAGAGAGAGAACATGGGAGTTTAAAAAAAAAAAAAAGCAGAGATGTGGAAACAGTGTGCTTCAAAGGAGCTTTGGCCATGGGCGTGTTTGTTTCTCCCTCTAATCCCAGCATAAGAGATAAACTCCAGAGGACCAGTCAACTCCAATTAAATGACAGGGTTGCACTGTGGGGACGGCCGGGAACTTCCAGCTGGATGTAAAGGAAGAGATTGCTGTGACCAGGAATCTCTGTGCTGAGCAGGCCTGGGTGGAAGGCGGCCGGCAGACGGTGCTTTGGGGTGCTGCTAATTTCGGCCCATCCGACTAAAACCTGCTTCCTGATTCCCGGATAGCTCACGCCTGGAGGCCGAGTCCTCCCAAATCCTAGTCCATGTCTCTTTCCTCTCTGCAGCTGATCCGAGGACAGCGGGCTCCTGCCTCCCGTCTCTGCTTTAGGACCGAGGATAAGGAGACCCAGAGGTGTTTGCGGACAGGGCTGGAGTCACAGCCCCTCTCGAAGAAAGGACTGGAGAGATAGTTCAGTGGGTAGGGCGTTTACAGACCCAGTTCCATCCCCAGCACCCCATATGGTCCCCTGAGCCCCGCCAGGAGTGATTCCTGAGCACAGAGCCAGGAGTCAGCCCTGAGCACCGCTGGGTGTGACCCAAAGGCAAAAAAAAAAAAAAAAAAAAAAAAAACAGAAGAAAGAGCTGGGGAAAAGCCCCCTGGCTAGGTCAGTCTCTTACCCTCAGCAAACTCGAGGGAGGGCCGTGCAGACAGATCCTTCCAGAACCTCCTCCTAGGGCATGAATGGATCTAGGGACAAAAGAACAGGGATGGTGAAGTGACATCAGTTCACAAAACAATAGCGCTGAGATTTGAGCCCTATTGCACCTTAGGGTGGCAGCAATTGAATGATCACAAACACGTGGACAGCAGAGCCTGAGGGTGCCCCAGAGGGAAAATCATGTGGACTCCATCCCCGGATGTCAAATGAGCCAAACCCTCTCGGCAGACCACACACCCGCGTGTCCTCCCGCTCCCGCATCTGGTCCACGAGCTGAACATTGGTCACTTTGTCCCAAACCGAGGGGCTCGGTGGATTTTTCCAAGGCCTAAAAATCGCGGCTCTCAGTCCCCTCCAGGTGATTTCGAGAGGCCGTTTCCCCCTCCCTTCTTCTCACAGGCCCCCCTTGAGATCTCTCCCCAAATCAAATCATGATGAAATCCCAGGAACAGCCATGACTTCTTTCTCAGAACCACTTCCCCGAAGACAGTGGAGGTGCTCGGCTTTCCCAGAAGCTCCAAAGAGCTACAAATTAATTACACAGCATAATTAGGTTCCTGCTCAAACTCTGGGCACTGGACACTAAGAGGCAGGAATGGTCCAAGCAGGCTATAGTAATTGCTACCTGTGTCATGGGGGCCTGTGGGTGGAAATTGGAGTTATTCTGATTTCTGCTTAGGACCGAGGATAAGGACACTGCAGACTGCACTTCTGCCTTCATCAGCTCCTGGAGTGTTTCCTGGGCTTCGGTGCAAGCTCACCCATGATCCACCATGTGACTTGAAGAATGCACCGATGTCTATTTTTATCCTAATACTTAAATATCTTCATATAAAAATACAGATTCCGGGGCTGGAGTGATAGCACAGCGGGTAGGGCGTTTGCCTTGCATGCAGCCAACCAGGGTTCGATTCCCAGCATCCCATAGGGTCCCCTGAGCACCGCCGGGAGTAATTCCTGAGTGCAGAGCCAGGAGGAACCCCTGTGCTTCGCTGGGTGTGACCCAAAAAGCAAAAAATAAAAATACAGATTCCTCAAACCCACAGGTTTAGTAGACAGTCTTAAGATGAAGCTGCCGGAGCGATGGTACAATGGGCAGGATGTCTGCTTTGCACGAGGCCGACCTGAGTTCGATCCCTGGCATTGCATCCCTTATAGTCCTCCAAGCACCACCAGGCGTGATTCCTGAGTGCAGAGCCAGGAGTAGCCCCTGAGCATCGCCGTGTGTGCCCCCAAAAACAACAACAACAACAACAAAAATATGAAGCTGAGTGTATTTGTTAGCTATGGTGACCTAACAAACGTAACCACCACCCCCTGCCCCGCCTCAAAAAAGCAAATAAATTAAATAGCAGATGACTCAAAGGGCCAGAGCACAAGCTTTCATGGGGGAGCCTTGGTTTTGATCCCCAGTTCCACATGGACCCCCCTCCCACCAAGCACTCTCGGGAATAAACCCCCAGCACCACTGGGCATCCCCCCCCACCACCACCACCCACAAAAAATTAGCAATTAAAAAGTGTAGAGAGACCAGGGTGATAGTCCAGCAGAGAGGGCGTTTGTGTTTGACACGGCCAAGCCGGGTTCGATCACCAGCATCCCATATGGTCCCCCGAGCACCGCCAGGAGTAATTCCTGAGTGCAGAGCCCAGAGGAACCCTGAGCATCGCTGGTATGACCCAAAAATCCTTGGGGGTGGGGGTTGAAGGGGGGGTGGAGCAGAATCTGGGAGAGGAAGCCAGGAGAGGAAACAGAGTATCCCAGCGACCTTGGAAACCTGATCTTGGGTATCACACACCTTCCCTTCCTCTTTTTTTTTTTAAGCAACTTAGTGATTACTTTATTTAAGCCAAAATTGAACCCTATTTAAGCCAAAATTTATTTTGTATTACTGATTGTTCTATAATAAAAACTGCCATCAATAAAAGTTTTCCATTCTTTTATGGGGCTGGAGCGATAGCACAGCCGGTAGGGCGTTCGCCTTACACGTGGCCAACATGGCCGACCCGAGTTCGATTCCTCCGCCCCTCTCGGAGAGCCCGGCAAGCTACCGAGAGTATTCGATATGCCAGACACAGTAACAATAAAGTCTCCAATGGAGACGTTACTGGGCCCGCTCAAGCAAATCGACGATCAACGGGAGGGCCTTTACCTTTACCTTTACCTTTTATATGTATGTATATATTTATTATATATTATTATATATACATATCCATGCATGTATATACGTAATTCCATGCAATTAGATAGATAATCTGGTAAAAATAACATCTGTTCAGATTTACACATTTCTGTCATCCTTTTTTTCTTTAATTTTAATTAGTGAGATATCATGAGGTACAGTTGTAGACTTACAAATTTTTGTGCTTGGGTTTCAGTTATACAATGATCAAGTACCCATCCCTCCACCAGTGCCCATTCTCCACCACCACGGGTCCCAGTATCCCTCCTACCCCCATCCCCCCATCCCCCCTGCCTCTGTGGCAGGGCATTCCCTTTTGTTTCTCTCTCTTATTGGGTGTTGTGGTCTGCAAAAGAGGCAATGGGTGACAACCATGTTTGGTCTATAGTCTACTTTCAGCACGCTTCTCCCACCCACCTTCCCTTCTTTTGTTGTTATTTTCTGTTTCCTTTTTGTTTGGAGGTCACACCAGGTGGCAGGTGGCGCTCAGGTCTCACCGCTGGCTCTGCACTCAGGAATCACTCCTGGTGCTGCTCGGGGACCCAGAGGGGATGCTAGGTATGGGTTGGCTGCGTGCCAGGCAAGCACCCTGCCCGCCCCCGGACACCTCTGCAGTTGCCTGCTGGCTGTATGCGAGCCAACGCTCTGAGCCTGCCTGGACAGTGAGCAGACCTGAGACCCGGCGAAGAAGTGTCTGTCCCCGGGTCTGTGGGTTAGTGAGAGGCAGAGCTAGGGTTCGAGCTGACTCAAAGTCCTCCAGCGCCCGACAACGAGAACGTCTGGGAGACCAAGTGGCCCATTCGAAGAAATGATTGTGCAACGTCACTTGGGAAGAATTGTTGAGGTTTAAGGGGCCGAAGGGAACAGGGCTACGACTTCTGTTTTTTGTTTGTTTTCTCTGGTTCCGTCCTTGTTGCTTTTCTCCCTCATTCAGTCGGGGCTGCCACAGTCATGCAGGAAGGGAGGAGACGCTTCTTCCCATCGTCTCCAGAGACCTTTCCGCTCTGCAGGCTCTGACACCCCCAACCCGAGTGCTGTCTCCCCCTGCCCCCGCTAAGGATGCTGCTTTTGTCTTAAAGAGGTGTCAAGGAACGACTCCTGCTCGGATCTGCCCGAGATCCAGAACGGGTGGAAGACCACGTCCCACACAGAGCTGGTGCGGGGAGCCCGCATCACCTACCAGTGCGATCCTGGCTATGACATCGTGGGGAGCGACACCCTCACCTGCCAGTGGGACCTCAGCTGGAGCAGCGACCCCCCGTTCTGCGAGAAGAGTGAGTCTGCTTTCTCCCGCCACACCATGGGGGGGTGGGGGGCCTTGTTGGCAGGGAGCCGGTTACTTCCAGTGGAACGGACCTACCTCCTGCTCAGCCCGCTCCTGGGTGGCGGCTGGGGCTCAGGGCCCATCAGGGGCACAGAGGGCTCCAGAGTAACCGAGGCTGGTGTGAGACAGCAGGGAGTGGTGTGGACGGTGGAGAAGGGGAGCTTCTGCACCTGTTCAAATGCAGGTCCTTTAAATAGCCAGAAGGGGACTGGAGCCCTAGCACAGTGGGTAGGGTGTTTCCTTGCACGAGACTGACCGGGGTTCGATTCCCAGCATCCCATATCTAACCTCTGTGCATCGCTGATTGTGACCCAAAAAATAAAATAAAGTAAAATAAAATACCCACAAGATGAAATGCACTGCAGAATTGTCACTACAGCAGAATCACCTGTTTTTCTTTCCAGTCCAAAAATTGGTTTATATGCATTTTTTCAATGTTTCCTGTGGCGCCAGAATGATAGTACAGTGAATAAGGTCTTGTATGCAGTAGACCCAGGCTCAACCACCAGCATCCCAAATGGTCCCTCGAACCTACCAGGAGTGATCCCTGAGTGCAGAGCCAGGAGTAAGCCTTGAGCACAAAGGATGCAACCAAGAAAAATATACATATATATATAAAATTTTTAAAAACTTTCCATAATGAGTCTACCCTACTTTTTCTGCTAGACACATAATAATATGTTATATACTGGGCTGAAGCAATAGCACAGCGGGTAGGGCGTTTGCCTTGCACACAGCCAACATGGCCAACCCGAGTTCGATTCCTCTGCCCCTCTCGGAGAGCCTGGCAAGCTACTGAGAGTCTCTCACCCGTACGGCAAAGCCTGGCAAGCTACCCATGACATATTCGATATGCCAAACACAGTAACAAATCTCACAATGTTACTGGGCCCGCTTGAGCAAAAATCGATGAACAACGGGAGGACAGTGACAGTGACATTGACCCACTATATAATATATATATATATATATATATTAGAAAAGTAGGGGGTGAAACCATTATGGGAGTCTTCTCTACAGGCATAAAATATGTGACAATTTTTTTTCTTTCTTTTCTTCTTGTTTATCTTTAAATCTCCGGCAATTACGCAGTGAAATACAATAGTCCAGCAAAATAATCAAAATGGGCTCTTGGGGGGACCACCCTCAGCTCTGCTCAGGGATTACCCCTGGGTCTGTGCTCAGGGATCACTCCTGGCAGAGCTCAGGGAACCACATGGGAAGCCAAGGATTGAACCTGGGTTAGTCTTGTGCAAGATAGATGTCTCACCCTCATGCTGTGTCTCTGGCTTGCTGTCACTGTCACTGTCACTGTCCTCCCGTTGTTCATCAATTTTCTTGAGAGGGCCCACTAACATCTCCATTGTGAGTAAATGACAATATTTTAAAATCACACAGGTAACAAAGGCTCGCCTCTACTACCCATACAGCCAGACAGTTATGACAGGGATCAGAGAGAGAGAGTACGGGGAGGAAGACATTAGCCTGGCATGGGACCAATCTTCGTTCAACCCCCTGAATCATGTGGTCCCCTGAGAACTGCTGGGAACGATCCCCAAGCTCAGAGCCAGAAGGAACCCCCAGGTGTCACTGAGTGTGACTCAAAATATCACACACACACACACACACACATACACACACACACACACACACACATAAAAACTAAAAACAAAACAAAACCATGTAGTAGAGAGAGAATTCTCTACTGTCTTAGTCTGTGAGGGTGACACTCCTCTGGAAAGGGTTCCACGGCGCCAGCCGTGCGCGGTGTCAGCCGTGTAAGCAGACACGCGGGCGTCTGTATCGTGCACGCAGATAGACGCAGACAGACAGCGAGAGCTTGCACCAGGCAGAGCACTCTCCTGGCGGGGAGCCGCGTATGCAAACCACCTCGCTGTAGCTTGGAATTCGCCTCAAGCACGGTCCCTTTTCTCATCACGCACATTATCTGCCGTGTTCTTTCTAAATTGGTTTATTGTTTTCCTTTTTTTCCCCCAATATTGATTTTTTGTTTCGTGAAGCAGTCACGAATGCTTGTTTGACTGTGTTCAAGCACTGCGAAGTAAGTAGCCCTGGTGGCTCCTGGGAGACAGCGCTCCAGGACGGGCCCTAGCTCTGCCCAGCATCCAGCCTGCCGTGGCCGTCTGGCCCCAACGCAAAACATTCCTTTGGGCTGGTTCCCCCAAGGGGAGTTAATCCAAGTCTCTTCTTTTTTTTTTTTTTTTTTTTGCTTTTTTGGGTCACACCCAGCGATGCTCAGGGGTTACTCCTAGCTTCAGGAATCACTCCTGGCGGTGCTTGGGGGACCATATGGGATGCTGGGAATTGAACTCGGGTCGGCCTAGTGCAAGGCAAATGCCCTACCCGCTGTGCTATTGCTCCAACCCCCAAGTCTCTTCTGTCATGCCTTATTCTCCTCCAACTTCCCCTGATGAGCAGACCGGAGAGAGTCAAACTTCATTTTTTTTTAAGTTTTGAAGTTTATTTATTTATTTATTTATTTAATTGCTTTTGGGGTCACACCCAGCAATGCACAGGGGTTCCTCCTGGCTCTGCACTCAGGAATTACTCCTGGCAGTGCTTGGGGGACCATATGGAATGCTGGGAATCGAACCCAGGTCAGTCACATGCAAGGCAAATGTCCTACCTGCTGTGCTATCGCTCCAGCCCCGATGGTTCTGTCATTCCCAGCCAACCTGTGACCCTCCGAGCCCTCACGCCCCCTTGCTCTGCTTCCCTAGTCATGTACTGCACCGACCCCGGAGAAGTGGACCACTCCACACGCCTCATTTCGGACCCGGTTCTGCTGGTGGGCACCACCATCCAGTACACCTGCAACCCCGGCTTCGTGCTGGAGGGGAGCTCGCTACTGACCTGCTATAGCCGTGAGACGGGCACGCCCATCTGGACATCCCGCCTGCCTCACTGTGTCTGTGAGTCCCGTTTCATCCCGGACCAAAGGGAGCCCCCAGACGGTGGTCAGGGGTCCCCATCCGTTTCTGCATGGTGGGTAGTGAGGGGACGGGAGCGTTGGCTATGATTCCTCATGACAATAGCTAGCACAGAGTAAGGGCGGCGGTACTCGGACATTTACGGTAAATTTACAATTTAGATTTCCTGTAGAGAGACATTTACTACCCCCAACAACTCGATCCACCAGCGTCCCTGGCCTGCTCCCCTGCAGGCAACCTTGGGTGCAGATCAGAATAGTCCCCACTTTCAAAAGGTACTGGGAGGCCAGAGTCTTAGTACAGCAGGGAGGTGCTTGCCTTGCACGAGGCTGACCTGGGTTCAATCCCTAGTGCCCCATATAGTCCCCCAAGCCTGCCAAGAGTGATCTCTGAGTGCGGAGTCAGGAGAAAGCCCTGAGCGTTGCCAGGTGTGGCCCCCGCACAAAGAAATAATAAAAAATACTGGGCTGGGAAGAGTATAGCAGGTAGGATGCTTATTTGCATTTAGCAAAGAGTTATGAGCACATAGCTATGTGCAAAGAAGTGGACCACCCCCCGTGGTTCCCTGATCCCGACCAGGAGGGATTCCTGAGTGCAGAACCAAGAGTAAGCGCTGAGTACGGCCCAAAGAAACAAAAAAAGAAGAACACAAAGCACAAGAGGGCAGTATCCAGTGATGACAAATCTAGAAGCTGGTCACTAAGGTTTTCATGCAAGACACCAGGTAGTGATGTGCTATGGGGACAGTGAGGGACAGATCCGGGAGCTGTGGAGCCTCCCAGCGGATTTTCTTCTTTGTTGCTGTGTGCTGTAAAGATGGCGCTGGGGAGCGGGTTGTGGGCGTGCCTTCTGGAATCAGAGTTTACCTGGGAGCCAGGGCAGTCCCGGCAGTTTGGAATAAAAGTCCTGGTTCCCGCATGCCCGAACTACACTTGTAGAGGCTCATGGTCACCAAGGTTCCACCTGGAGAAGGCGGGATGCAGCACCTACCCCATCTGGGACTTCCCGGTGATCTCAGCTCTGTTTGGGACCTGGAGCATTCTCTGGGAGCATTTTTTTTTAATCTGGACTCCAAGGGCCAGACTGTACAGGGGTTACTGAAGGCCCTTTCCTTGCACCCAGCCCGATTTTTTCCCAGCGCTATTTAAGTTCCCCCATCAAGAGTGATCCCTGAGCACAGAGCCAGAAATAAGCCTAGCACTGCTGGGTGGGCCCTCAAAGCAAAATTAACTAAGACAAAATCTAAGCTTTGGGGTAGATCTCCAGAAGGAAGCTTGTTGGGAATCTTCATTGTTCACGGCACTGCCAGGCTCCTGACGGCGACTGCACCGTTCTGTCGTCCTGCCCACAGTTTCCGCGGCTCTGCGTCCTTCCAGCACTTGGGAGCCTGCCCTGGTCTACTGGGGTGAGGGGTCCCCCATGCCTGGGGCTCACATTTCCCACCTTTAGGTGTACCAGATGCACATTTGCAAGTGTTTGGAGAAACCAGGTATTCAAGTTCTTTTGTTCTTTAATTGGATTCTTTTACTGGGGGCCACTACCACAGAGGAATTCCTTTTGTGACTTTTGGAAATGAAAGCTTTTTGAGATTAATGGCCCAAAACTGTTCACTCCGCTGTTACCGATTTTCTTCCTCTTGTGGAGAATCTCCCTTGAACACTTCACTTACTTCAGTTACGAGAATCAGCTACCATGAGACTGGAGTCATAGCACAGTGGGGAGGGCACTTTCCTTGTACACAGCCAACCCAGGTTCGATTCCCTGCCCCCCTCCCCCGTGGTCCCCTGAGCATCACCAAGAGTGATCGCTGGGTACAGAGCCGGGAGTAAGGCCCAAGCACTGTTGGGTGTGGCCCATAAAACAAAACCAAAAGAATCATCCGCCACAGATTAAGGATTTAATCAGAACCATCCTGACAAGGGGAAAGCTCTGTTGTCCACCATGGTTGCTCGGGTTTGACCCTGAAGGCCCCAGGAGGAGAGAGAGAAGAGCAACAGACACAAGAAGAGACAGATAGGACAGTAGAAGAAGCAAGCACCTCCGCCCGGGAAGAGAGGGACTTTGTGACGGGCCCTGGGTTTCCCAGCTGCCTCTAGGATGTGTCAGAATCCGAGAAATGGAAGAGGAACGGGAATCGGAGCAGGAAAAATCAACCCTGGGGATTGGCCAAGGGCACGGCCCCGTGACCTTGGAGTCTCTCCCGATTGTGATGTAGTAGTGAAAGGGGGGAGAGGGGGTCTGTGCAGATCTACACCAGCATGTCCTGATTCAAATCTGTGCAGAGCCTGGACCAGGACGTGGGGGCAACCCACAGTCATTGTCATGTGGGAAGGAAACGGGCCCGAAGAGAAACCTGGTGAGGCCACAGGCTTCTTTGTGGGCAGAGCTGGGGCACGGGTCCCACTGGTCTGCCCCCGCCCTGCCCCGCACAGATCTCACAGGTCCCCCACGGAACCACACTCTGACCCCTTCACCAACCCACACCCCCTCCCTGGCTCCAGACCCTGGGCCCAAGGTCACTCTGGTAGGTTCTAGTTTGGGGTTGAAGTGTTTTTGCTTGGTGAGCGCCTCCCACTGGCCAGAACCATGCACTGCATTTGGAAGTAGGAACTTGGCAGATAAAACTGAGCTCAGGAGGGACCCAGGGGGCCTGATTGCAGTGAGTTTGTTTGGATTAAAAAGGAGGGAACTGCCAGAGACGCAGGCCCCAGAGAAGGTCATGTGGTGGAGGAGGCAGAGGTGAGTTTTCTGCTTCTGCAAACAAGGAGTCCCAAGAGGGGCATATGTGAAGCCCAAGCTTGATCCCTGGTGCCATGTCCACCTCTCCCCCCCACCCCCACCCCCATCCTGCCCCAGCACCATTCCCTGGAGGCTCCTGGCCTGCAGGCCTGGGCAGCACCACTTCCTCGGGCTCAGGCACTGGCCCACACAGCCCAGCTGGTCAAGAAGTGGCCCCCAGGGGCTGGAGCAATAGCACAACAGAGAGGGTGTTTGCCTTGCATACAGCCAACCTGGGTTCGATCCCCAGCATCCCATATGGTCCCCTGAGTACCGCCAGGAGTCATTCCAGAGTATAGAGTCAGGAGTAACCCCTGGGCACCGCCAGGAATAATTCCTGAGTGCAGAGCCAGGAATAACCCCCGAGCATCACCAGGTGTGACCCAAAAAAAATTTTTTTGATTTAAAAAATTAAAAAATAATAAAGAAAAAGAAGTGGCCCCCAGGCTCTGATCCCCAACAAAACAGAGCTCCAAGAACTGCCAGGGGACTCTAGAAGCCAGAAGGGGCCAGAAACACGCTCAGAAGCCACTTGTATCACTCAAGCTGCAGAGAGCCAGCCGCCCCCGAAGCTGAATGTGAGACCGTCCTTGAAAACACTGAAAACTGTAGCCTAGAGAGACGCACCACAGGGGCCAAGGTACTTGCCTTGCACGTGGACAAATCAGGTTTGATCGCTGGCACTGTAGACAGACCCCTAAGCACCGGCAGGAGTGATCCCCGAGCACAGAGCCAGGAGTAAGCCCTGAGTACCGCAGGGTTTAACCCAAAAATCATAATCAAAAAACAAAACAAGCCAGAGTGATAGTACAGCGGGAGGGCGTTTGCCTTGCACGTGACCAGCCAAAGTTCGATCCTCGGCATCCCACATGGTCCCCTGAGCACCGCCAGGAGTGATTCCTGAGTGCAGAGCCAGGAGAGTAACCCCTGAGCATCACCAGGCGTGACCCAAAAACCCCTCCCACCAGAAAAACAAATGAAACAAAAACATACACACAGAACCCCTGAATTTTATTGTTTTAGAAATTACTCGATTCATTCAGGGCTGGGGGGCCAGAGAGCAAGCCCCAGGCTTCATATATGTGCCACTCACTCGAAGGATCATCTGCGATTCCAGGGATTGAACCCAGGTCGGCTGGGTGTGAGGCAAACGCCCTACCCACTGTGCTACCCCTCCAGCCCAATGAGTTCCTGTGATTTTAGTATTTTCCTCTAGATTTTGCTCTAAGATTTTCACCTCTGTCTCCGGCATCAGGGCCGTGCCTTGGCCTCCAGCTAACCCCCAGGAAATGTGTGCGGAACTCTGCTGGACTGTTCACGCAGGCACCGCATCTGTCTTCTTCATCATCATATGCCCAGGGCTGAGAGCTCCACCTGGCACAGAAAAGGGACTCGATAAATATTTGTTGTACACCTTCATCTGTTATTTTATGGAAGGAAGTTGCCCGCCAAGGTGGTGGGGAAAGCTGAGTTAGCACTGCCCCCTGCTGGCCACTTTGCTACACTGGCAGGACACTGCACCAGCTCCAGAAGAGGGAAAACAACTGAAATCAGAGCAGCATCCCTAAAGCCGAGTCCCCACCCATCCCCTCCCATAAGAGCACTGGGAGTCTGGGCTCTCCCTGCAACCTTTCCCTGACCGCCCCCCCTCAGCCCCCATGGCAGGGTGGAGGCAGTTTCTCCCCGGCTCAGGGCACGGGATTCAGGGGTCTGGCCGCTGCCCCCTCCCCACGAGCACCCTGGAGAAAAAGAAACCTCGCTCCCCTGTCTCTCCCAGCCCTGCTGCCAGCCTGGCACAAAAGGCGGAGTTAAGCGGGAGAGGTCTATGGAACTTGGAAGAGGTGGGGGTAAGGTTCTCTGGGTTTTGTTTTATTCTCTTTTGGAGGGGGGGTCACATCCGGCAGTGCTCAGGGGTCACTCCTGGCTCTGCACTCAGGAATCACTCCTGGCGGTGCTCAGGGACCAGATGGGATGCTGGGAATCGAACCCAGGTCAGCCGCGTGCAAGGCAAATGCCCTACCTGCTGTGCTATCGCTCGCTCCAGCCCCTGGTTTTTGTTTTATTCTAAGCTTATTTAAGCTCATTGCATTGAGCTGCATTTTGCACGGTAATATAAATATGCTGGTGGTGCCCATGGGGCTGTAGACCAGGCCCTTGTGGGTATGTTTGTTGGGGGGCTTTGTGGGTCACTCCTGGCAGTACTTGGGCGTCGCTCCAAGCAGTGGTTGGGAGGATCATGCCATACTGAGGATTGAACCCAAGCCTCCTGCCTTCCATCACACCCTCTAGCCTGGTGGGCAGGCTCTCCAGTCTCAGATCAACCTTTGGAGGTTTTGCTAAGAAAATGAAAGGTGACTGTGATTACAGAAATATTATTGAGGGTGAGTCAAAATGATAGCATGATTAAAATGGAAGAATAGGGGCTGGAGCGATGGCACAGCAGGTAGGGCATTTGCCTTGCACGCAGCCAACCCGGGTTCGATTCCCAGCATCCCATATGGTCCCCCGAGCACCGCCAGGAGCAATTCCTGAGTGCATGAGCCAGGAGTAACCCCTGAGCATCACCAGGTGTGACCCAAAAATAACTAACTAAATAAATAAATAAATAAAAGGAAGAACAAGGGAGAAAGCTCAAAAACAGAGAGATAGCTCAAAGGTTAAGGCACTTTCTTTGTATGCAGCCAGCCGGGGGCATCCCAGGTGGTCCCCCCCAAGCCTGCCAGGAGTGATTCCTGAGCACAGGACCTGGGGTAAGCCCCAAGCACCACTGGTTATAGTGCTCAGTGAAATCAAGGGTGTCCCCCCAAATAGACTCTGGGCTGGGGCTCACAGGAAGGCTGGGCAGGGGGAGGGTGGTCCTCTAAGAACATGGCCTCGCCAAGAGAGTGATAAGTCAGAGACTGACACAGGCGAGTGGTCAGTGTCCCCTCTGCTGTTCCAGGGGGCCTTTGGAGGAAAGAGAAAGCAGGACCCATCTCCTCTCCCAAGGGACTCCCCAGGAACGGGTGCTGGACAAGGCAGAGTTGGATATTTATTTCATTTTATTTATATTTTTGGATGAGGGACATACCTGGCTATGCTTAGGAATCACTCCTGGTGGGACTCAGGCACCATCTGTGGTGCTGGGGTTGAATTGTCACTGTCACTGTCACTGTCCTCCCGTTGTTCATCGATTTGCTCAAGCGGGCACCAGTAACGTCTCAACAAATTGTGAGTCTTGTTATTATTGTTTTTGCACATCAAATACGTCACGGGGAGCTTGCCAGGCTTTGCCGTGCGGGCGAGATACTCTCGGTCGCTTGCTGGGCTCTCCTCTTTGGGGGTACCCAGATAAAAGGGAGTCACCAAGTTGTGTTTCGAGCTGCTTCCCTAAATATCTCAACAGAAGGGGATGGGGAGGGTGTTGAATGGGGTCAAGAGTCAGGATTCTTATGTCTTATGTGGCCCCAGGCAGAGCTTGGTCTCATGGCTGGTGATCTGGTTCCCAGAAGGGAGATGCGAAGGCTTGAAGGGGTTGAATCAGGCAAACCTTATTCACAGTCTTATCTCTCCAGCCCTCAATGTAGCGTTTTTAATAATACGGCCAATAAAAGATGTGTCTTCCAAAACCCAGGGGTCACTTCCAGGTGAGTAGACCAGACAGTTCGATTAAAACTGGGCAACACAGTTTCACATCCAAGAGGACTTTCGTTTTCTTTTGCTGTTTTGTTTTGGTGTGGGGCCCACCCCTGGCGGTGCTCAGGACTTCCTCCTGGCTCTGTGCTCACGGATCACTCCTGGTGCGGCTCAGGGCATCTGGGTCAGCTGTGTGCAGGGTCAGTGCCTTAAGCCCTGTGCTAAGGCTCCGGCACAAAGCATGGATACCCAAAGGGGGTGTCTGTGCCCCAAAGTAAGGACCAGAGAAATCACCCTAGGTTTGGAGTTTGGCGATGAACATGGGCACCTGTTAGGGAGAATATCTGTGCCCGTGATGACAATGGCAGGATTCAGCAGACCCCCGACCTTGGGCTCATCTCAGTGCTCATGGGTGGGTGGGCCAGGGGCTGTGGGCTGTGCCCTCCTCGGGCTCCCACTCTGCTGTGGGCAAGACGGACGGCTTCCATTAGTGACGGCCGGGCTGACCTGGAGGTGCCTGTGCTCCCCAAGACCAGCCAGGAAGGAAGAAGAAATGACCAGCTGGTTTGGGCTATAGGCAGGAGCTAACCCACCAAAGCCAGTGACCATACGGAGCACGGACGAAGCTCCATTCATAGGCTCGGTGAACCGAAGGGGCTTCCCAGAGGGATGCTGGATCATTTCTGATGCTCCTCGTTGCCCAGCCCTCAGTTTCCAAGGCTCCTCTCCCATGAGGGAAACTAGTCCTAAATAACTCCTACTGGCAATCCTGGGTCTGCAGGGCTGGAGCGCCTAGGTGGGAGGAGAACTGGAAAGACAGGGTCCTCGATTCAGATGGGGGTGGGGAGGAGGAGGCATCAGGGAAGGCTTCCTGGGGGAGGAGAAATGAGGACTGACTATTGGAACACACTACTTCTTGGGGATAGGCAGGTGAAGTTCAGGCAAGTGAAGAGCAGAAGAATATTGAGTCATTGAGCATCACCGTCCCATCACTGTCTCCTCTGACAGGCCAGGAGCGCCCTAAGCATTTCGCCCTTATTGATGCATCCACTAATAATCCTACTATTGTGCCCGGGGTTGGAGCGATAGCACAGCGGTAGGGCGTTTGCCTTGCACGCAGCCAACATGGTCGACCCGAGTTCGATTCCTCCGCCCCCTCTCGGAGAGCCTGGCAAGCTACCGAGAGTATCTCGCCCGAACGGCAAAGCCTGGCAAGCTCCCCGTGACGTATTCGATATGCCAAACACAGTAACAAGTCTCACAATGGAGACGTTACTGGGCCCGCTCGAGCAAATCAATGAACAACGGGAGGACAGTGACAGTGACCGTGATTGTTGCGCCCGGGTTTTAGATAGCCAAATGTGGAAAGACCAAGTCCACACAGGATAATAATGCAAAAGCAAAGGAACTGCATCACTAGCTCGAGCCGTTGCTATTCTCTGGGTCCAAGTCTCACCCAGTGCAGTAGAGTCTTGACAAGGACCCCGACTCCAAATCACAAGCAGTTTATGTAGGGTTCAGAGTTAAAGGCAATTTATATACTAGTCTATCTTTAGCATTGTCCCTATTACAACAGTGGCCAGCAATTAGACAGTGGTCAGTAACAGTTTCTAAGGAGGGTGCAGTGACCCGCCGTGACCGGCCAGACCCAACTGCCCAATTCCTTATCTCGGCACATTACTCAAGTGGGAGTTTACCAGAAACTGCAAGTCTTGCTTTGGAGAAACAGAAACTGAGGCCTAGCTGAGACTTCATGTTAGCTACAGCTTGTCGTGGCCTCAGTTTCCCCTCGCACTATTAGTTCCATCTCCTGGGGAACTAATAGCAGAGGCTCAGAGAGGGTGCAGTCTTAGCTGGAGGTCACACAGCTAAGAAGGAGCCAGATTCACAGGAACAGGGCCCCGGGGTAGCCCCGGGAGTGGGGGGAGGTGGGGAAACAGTCCTACACAAGATGGGGCAGCAGGGAGAGAGGCCGGCTCTGAGGACGGGGTCCCCCAGAAATGCATATGGCCACATCGGGCCACCTTTTCCTTTCCTCTCCCGCTTCAGCGGAGGAGTCGCTGGCCTGTGACAACCCGGGGCTGCCTGAGAACGGGTATCAGATCCTGTACAAGCGCCTCTACCTGCCCGGAGAGTCCCTCACCTTCATGTGCTACGAAGGCTTCGAGCTCATGGGCGAAGTGACCATCCGCTGCATCCTGGGCCAGCCGTCCCACTGGAACGGGCCCCTGCCCGTCTGCAAAGGTACGGAAGTGAGGGGCTGGAGCGATAACCCAGCGGGGAGGGCGTTTGCCTTGCATGCAGCCGACCCGCGTTCAATTCCCAGTATCCCATATGGTCCCCTGAGCACCGCCAGGAGTAAATCCTGAGTGCAGAGCCAGGAGTAACCCCTGTGCATCGCCGGGAGTGGCCCAAAAGAGAAGAGAGAGGGAGAGGGAGAGAGAGAGAGAAGAAGGAGGAGGAGGAGGAGGAGGAGGAGGAGGAAGAGGAGGAGAAGGAGAAGGAGAAGGAGAATAAAGAAGGAGAAGAAGGAGGAGGAGGAGGAGGAGGAGGAGGAGGAGGAGGAGGAGGAGGAGGAGGAGGAGGAGGAGGAGGAGGAGGAGAAGGAGAAGGAGAAGGAGAAGGAGAAGAAGAAGAAGAAGAAGAAGAAGAAGAAGAAGAAGAAGAAGAAGAAGAAGAAGAAGAAGAAGAAGAAGCAGAAGCAGAAGCAGAAGCAGAAGAAGACATCCACTTGCAGACAACAATGATGGAAAGAAAGGGGAGTTCAGATTTTGCCAGCGATTCCTTTCCCGTGCCCCAGCATCGAAGAGTATTTGTCCCTTTTTCTTCCACAGCTTGGCCATTGGTATCAACAGTCTCTGTTACTGTCACAGCCTTGAATTCAAAAAAGAGGGGCAGGAGTGTTAGCACAGCGGGGAGGGCGTTTGCCTTGCACGCAGCTGACCTGGGTTCGATTCCCAGCATCCCATATGGTCCCCCAAGTACCGCCAGGAGTAATTCCTGAGTGCAGAGTCAGGAGTAACCCCTGCACATCGCCAGGTGTGACCCAAAAAGAAAAAAGAAATGGTATGAGCGTGGGGCGGGGGGGGGGGAGGGCGACGGGCGGGCACTCCGGCCTCCCCTGCAGGGCCGCTCTCCTGCATTCTGTGAGATCTCTGCTGCCTCCGTTATTCTGGGAGCAAGGCCGGCCGAGAAGGAAGGACATGGTGCAAAGCCAGCCATGGTCACCTTCCTTCCCGGACTCAGAGAGCATGTGGAAGCTGAAAAATTTTAGAGTCAGGAGTGCCCTCCTGCTTAAACTCCTGCCCCGGCACAACTTAGACATTTCCCAAGTCCCACCCCCCTCCCTACACCCGCGGGGCTCTCAAGGGTGAAGAATGTCCCCCAGGCCATCTCCCACCCCACCCTTTTGGCTTTGGGGGTCGCCCCAAATCCTCACATCCACTCTTCAGATACAACGGATGCTGGGCAGGACCAGTGCCACCGGGCTTGCGAGCACCCCCACTGGTGGTAAAAATTATAGCACCTCATTGATTTGCTGGACAGGCTCCCATCGGTAAAGGGGAACATTAAGCAAGTCAAAGAAACATCATCGAGGGGCTGGAGTGATAGCAAGCGTTTGCCTTGCCCGCGGCCCGACCCTGGTTCGATCCCCAGCATCCCATATGGTCCCCTGAGCACAGTCAGGAGTAGTTCCTGAATGCATGAACCAGGAGTAACCCCTGAGCATCGCCAGCTGTGACCCTCCCCCCCCCAAAAAAAAAAACAAAAAAACGTCATCGAAATTCAGTTAGGACACATTTAAGTTCGAATACATTCATTTGAGTCTTCCAAGTGTGCAGTTCGATCTGGGAGATAATACAGTGGGTAGGGTACTGGCCTGGCATGCGGCCACACCAAGTTCAATCCCCAACACCTCATAAGGTCCAACACCTCATAAGGTCCCCTGAGCAGCACCGGGAGTGATTTCCTGAGTGCAGAGTCAGGAGGAAACCCTGAACAACACTGGGTATAGCCCCCAAACAGAAACTGTGCAATTCATGATACTACGACACATGTATGCTCAAGGCTGGTGAGACGGAGGGCCTCACTCGTTGAGCTGGTGGCCAGGCCACTCCCAGCAGGCTCTGACACAAGGCGAGACCGTCGTTATTCACTCGGAGTCTTGCTGCCCTTGTCTCGTTTCTGCGTCTCTCTTCTGGGAACTTAAGAAGGGACTGTGCGCCGACATTTCCACTAACTCCAAGTGCCCGGGATCGATTAAAGGAGCACTCGCTGCAATAAATTCAATAAAATATAATATAGCTGGAGCCTTGCCTCCCTCTCCTGCTCTTTCTCTCCCTCTCTCCCTCTCTCTCTCTGACTTCATGCCAACCGAGTGAGCTCACTTGACACTGACCCGTGTTCCTGATCTCTCTTCCAGTGAATCAAGACAGCTTTGAGCACGCTTTAGAAGGTGAGTCCCTTCTATGATGAAAAAACATCACACAACATCGAGCATCTCCAAGTGCTTAAAAAAAAAAAAAAACCTTTCTGCCAGGGTCATTATGAACCAAAGAGCACGGGAAAGACACATAATTGGATTGGCTTAGGGTCCCAGCTCTAGCTGCCAGGGGCTGCACACCAGAGAGGGAGAGAATTCGAGGGCTCGTGTGCTGATCAGGCTTCGGGGTACAGGGGCTGTTTCCTGCTCCTGTGCCCCCCCCACCCCACCCAACCCCTTCTCTGTTCTTTTATTCTGAATTACGGAGGGAGGTTGATCACAGTGGAGAGATGCTTACTGCTCTCCAGGATTTTGTTTTGTTGTTCGCCAGCCTGTCCTGTTGGTGAACCATTCGCACTCTGCAGACCCCACATCCTGTTTGATTCTCGCAGGCGTGTAGACACACACAGACACACAGACACACTCACACACTCACACATACACACACATTCACACACACAAAGACACAGATACACATACACGCTCACACTGACACACAAACACACACACTGACACACACATACACACTAACACAGACACACACTGACACACACAGACACATATACACACTACCACTCACAGACATACACTCACACCACGTTCACACACTCAACAGACTCATAGACACACAGACACATTAACCACACACACACTCACACAGACACACACATAGGCACACACTCATACACGCAGATACACACACATTCACACACACAGAGACACACACTCACACACACATGTAACACCCCGCTTTCATCTCAGCACTTGGTCCAGACTATATTCCTTCTTGTCCCCGAGCGGATGCATCTCCCAGACACTCTGTCTGCTCAGACTCTGCTCTGGCCAGTCATCCCTTGTTCTGGGCTCGTCCCTGACACAAAGGACATTCAGCCCCACCAGCAGAGCCAGTGCTGGCTGGGAATCGGGCACTGGGGAGGCGGGTGTCTGTCTCTGTTGAGACCCCCCTTCTCCGTCTCTGCTGACACATCTCAGGACCGTCTCGGGGGGCCCGGGGTCTCAGGGCTGCCTGCTGAGCGTGGGCCTCTGCTGAGGACTGGGAGGAGACGGGGATTTAGGGGCAGGTGCCCGTCAGCGCTGTTCCACGTGGCCAGCGCTGTTCCACGTGGCCGGGGGAGATGCTGAGGCCAGCGGGAGGCAGGAAGGGTAGGAAAGACCTGGGGGTCTCGGAGCCTGCAAACGGGTGGAGCAGCTCTGACAGGTCTCGCAACGTTTGCAAGCAGAGGGAGGGGAGTGGGAGGCTCTGGGGAGTACCCCAGCAATGCGCCTGCGTGAGAGTCAAAACAACATCTCTGCACTTGGGGTGTCCCAGGGCTGCGCCGGCTCAAGGATTGGCCCAGCACCCCTGGGGTTCTCTCCTGGAGGGCCTGATGGCCCAGCTCTGGACGGGGCGCCAGCTCCCCACTGTTTCCCGGGGAAGTCGCCCAGTGTGGAAATTCTCTGTGGGGGGCCAGAGAGATGGTACCATGACTAGGGCGCCTGCCTTGCACGTGGCAGACCCAAATTCAATGCCCGTCACCTCATATGGTCCCCCAAGCACCACCCGGTGTGATGCCCGAGCACAGAGCCAGGAGTAGGCCCTGAGGTCGCCCCCAAACAAAACCTTACATCTGCCCCCGGTAGGAGGCACTCAAGCAGCATGCCGGCCCCCCAGGGCTGGGTCTCACCTATACACCCCACTTCTCTCTTCTCTGCACCCATCTCCCCTGGCCTTGGATCCGGAGCAGTCAATGCCCACGCCCCCCAGACGGGCACGCCGTGATGGGGGCTGGCACAGGGGCACTCCTGGGTCCCCGGGTGATGCCCCTTTCCCGCCAAGGCCGGGGCTGATGGTGGTTTGGGGACGTGGGCACCGTGTCCACGAAGGCCAGCTCCTCTCCCCAGGGCCTGGCTCTGCGCCCCCCGCTGGGGAGGCCCAGGGAGGGGGGAGGTGTGAGCACGGAGGGCGTCATGGCGTGTGTGTTCAGTAGCAGAAGCGGCAGCAGAGACGTCTCTGGAAGGCGGAAACATGGCACTGGCCATCTTCCTCCCGGTCCTCATCGTGTCGCTGCTGCTGGGCGGAGCCTACATCTACATCACCAGGTAGGGGCGCTGCCTGACACCTGTGTCCCATGAACTTCTGCTCTTTGAGGCTCGGTACTCCCAGTGGGGTGGCAGAGGCGGGGTACCAGCTCAGTGGACCTGACCCGGACCAGCCTGGGGTGCAGGGAAGAAAGAATGATGAGACTTTCTAATGGGCATGAGGGGGAAGGGGACTGGCCATGGGCACAGAGGAGCTACCTTGAAGCCGGTGGTCAGGGAAGACTATGTTGAGGCCATGTGGTATGCAGTAGGTGCTCAGACATGCGCACTCTTACCATTGCTGCTCCCAGCAGCCTGGGGCTTCCTGGGTTGGACTCAGAGCAGCTCCCCTGGCTGTCTCGGCTCTCGGGGGCAGCTCCCACACCTCCTCCTTGTCTTCGAGAGTTGGCACCTGCAGTCCTCCCAACGGTCCCGACCCTCTCCCCCTGCCCTCTGTTCCAGATGTCGCTACTACTCCAACCTGCGCCTGCCCCTGATGTACGCCCACCCCTACAGCCAGATCACCGTGGAAACCGAGTTCGACAACCCCATTTACGAGACAGGGGTGAGTGGGTCCGTCCCTCCGCCCCTCCGCGCGCCTCCCGCCTGCGTCTGCTCTGAACTCACCCTCCTTCTGGCCGAATGTCCAGTTTTCCCGTGGCTCGTGTTAGTGACCGGCAGAAAGACAAGGCCAGGCAGGGGTCCTGTCTCGGCCCCACCCAGACCCTCCGGCCCTGCAGACCGCCCCATGCATCTCTCTCTCTCTCTCTCTCTCTCTCTCTCTCTCTCTCTCTCTCTCTCTCTCTCTCTCTCTCTCTCTCTCTCTCCCCCTCTCAGGAAACCAGAGAATATGAAGTTTCCATCTAAGGCCACTGCCCTGGAGAAGGGGCCTCCCGGGGGGGCAGCTCCGGGGCCACCACTTGAGAACCTCACGCACAGACCCCGTGGCAGGCATCGGACAGAGAGCCCCCGGGGGTCAGCTGCCTTTTCCTTCCACGCTTCCTCGATGACTTCCTGTTTTCTTTGCTGTATTTATTATATTTAAAAAAATTGACGTCGGTCTGGCCGGATGTGGTGCAGCTTGGCCCAGCCTCCATGCGCGAGAGCCGGGGGGGAGGACACCAGCGGTGAGTGGACCCGTCCACCAGGAGATGGCCAGCTGCAGCCCTCTGCATGCGTGTCGGATTCCCCACCCGCCTTGCTGCTCGCAGCGCCCCTCTGCGTCCCGAGCTCAGGCTGCCCACGGGGGCGTCCCTTGTCGGATTCACTTGGGTTGTGGCGATGCGCGGGGACTGAGTGGGGTCTCCCACGCCCGAAACCAGCCCGCATCCTCCCTCTCTTCTGAGCTCTCCCTGCTTCTCCGAGTTCTCAGCACCGCCTTCTCCTCCTCCTCCTCCTCCTCCTCCTCCTCCGCTCCTCCTCCTCCTCTTCTTCCTCCTCCTCCTCCTCTTCTTTTCCTTCTCCTTCTCCTTCTCCTCCTTCTCCTCCTTCTCCTTCTCCTTCTCCTTCTCCTTCTCCTTCTCCTTCTTCTTCTTCTTCTTCTTCTTCTTCTTCTTCTTCTTCTTCTTCTTCTACTCCTTCTTCTCCTTCTCCACCTCCTCCTTCTCTTCTTCTTCCTCCTCCTCTTCTTCTTCTTCTCCTTCTCCTTCTTCTTCTTCTCCTCCTCCTCTGCTCCTCCTCCTCCTCTTCCTCCTCCTCCTCCTCTTCTTCTCCTTCTCCTTCTTCTCCTCCTCCTCCTCATCCTCCTCCTCCTCCTTCTTCTTCTTCTCCTCCTCCTCATCCTCCTTCTTCTTCTTCTTCTCCTTCTCTTCCTCGTCCTCCTCCTCCTCCTCTTCCTCCTCCTCCTCCTTCTCCTCCTCCTCCTCCTCCTCCTCCTCCTCCTCCTCCTCCTCCTCCTTACCCACCTACCCGGGAGCCTCTGAGGGAGGGCCACCAAGGTGCACCCTTCCTGCCCCTGACAGTTGCAGAGCGAGAATGAACCAGTCCCCCACTTTCTAAGGACGGTGCCAACAGCTCCTGAGCACTTTCAGAGCAGACAGGCGTGTTTGCTGCGTGGAAGGGTCGCAGTGAAGAACTGGGGCATGGGCAGGCGTGGGGCACGGGGGGGGGGGGGAGGGAGAGAAGAATGGAGGGAGGGACGGAGGGAGGGAGGGAATCGCGCTAATAAAATGTGCTCCTCCCCTCACACTCTTTGGGCGGTGAAAGTGTTCCTCGGTTCCAGGGAGGTGCCGTGGTCTGACCCAGAAGGGTGAGCCGTGTTTTACCTGGGGCACTGAAAAGCCTGAAACCTGCCCCCCCCCCGCAAAAAATAATTGGGGGATTTAAGGACATGCTTTCTCTTAGCCCCAGTGACCACCGAGTGTTTGGGTCGGCAGGGAACTCCTGGGAGGAAGAACGTGGTCGGGGTGTGCCCAGGTGGTGGTGGTGGTGGCGTGAAGGTGACACAGCCCATGCCCAGGAGCTCCAACACAACTCCTGGATGGACCCCAAACTCCGGGGACGAGACAGGGAGGAGCCTCCGCCTCAGCCCCCATTTCGGGGCTCCTCCTCCGTCACCGGGGTCATTCGGGACTCTGCCAGGATTCTCTCACCCGGCCCCAGGAGACGGGAGTCTGTGTGACATTCTCGAAGAGTCTTTTCTTTCCTCGATAGGGATAGAAAGAAGAGTCTGGAGGGCCAGGAGCTGCGGGCAGTGGGGGAGAAGGGAGTCTGGCAGGGTGGGGATGGGGGGCGATGGCTCAGAGAGACCCCCAGGCTCAACTCAGTGGATTGCAAAACCCTCTGGCAGCCTCTTGCTTTCTCTAGAATTTTTGCCTTTTCAGTCCATTGGGTTGGAAGCAAAGAAAAGCGGGAGAGACCCTTTGTTCCACGCCCACCCTGGGTAGGGGCGAATGCTGAGAGGCCACAAGTGGTGATGGGGGGGGGGGCTTTTCTAGGAAGTTCCCGGGCAGGACAGGGCAGTGGGCAGGGGGGGCCTACACACATTCTCCCCTCCAGACCAGGAGCCTGACGCTCACCCTGGGCATCCGAAAAGCCTGTCTCTGTGCCCATGGCCTGAGAGTTGAGAAATAACTAAAGGGACTTCTGCCCCCCCCAGTTCCCGCCCCAGATCTGCTGGGGACCGCGAGACGAAATTCCCAGACCCTCCGTGAGCACAGTCGCCAAGTTCCGAGAGGAGCCCCAAATACTAGGTCACCTTTCTGGCAAAAAGGCTAACGCTTCTCTGAGCGTCTCTTCCTCTTTCTTGGGAGAAGCAAGGGAGATTTTATTGGAACTGACTTCGAAAGGTGGGAGGGGAGAGAGAGGGGGAGACCCATAATCATGGAAGAACAGGGCCTCCTCCAGAGTGGAAACAGGTGAGCACAGAGACGAAGAGATCAGTCAGCCAGATCAGGGAGAAGACGGGCTTGGAGAGAGACTTCTCTTCCGTTTCTTTCTAGTCGATTCTTCGTTCTAACCCTAACCCCAGAGCCATCTGGAGAAAAAAAAAATTCTATTCATGGTATTTGATTTTAGGACGGACGGTGGTTGTTTGAAAACTAAACATTTGCCTTTCGTCTAAAGACGGACGAATAGAAACATCTTTCTTCTAACCCCATTAATCCCTGAGACTGGCCAGACCGTTTTGATTGGCTCTTTTCCGGTAGGGCTAGAAAAGGTCTTCTTTTTCACGTTCCTTTTCCCGGGCTACTTGTGTCTTAGTTTGGCTCTTAGCAGCACAGCGCCTGTATCCATGTTTCCCATGTTTGTTTTAGCCTAGAAATGGATTGTTCCAGAGTGACGGTGTCCAGTGTGGTGGCGAAGATGGGTGGGGTCTCTTTTCCTTTTCTTTTCGAATGTCTGAATGTGCATTTTGTAATCTGTAAAGGTCAAGAAAGAATCATAACAGTGCCAAAAAAAAAAAAACCCCAACATTCCTTTCTGCTGTTTTTCTATGCTGAACTAGCAAAGGCCCATGGGGACTCACTGTTTTTGAAAAGGGTGTACAGACGATCTCGAGAAATTCAGAAAATGGACCGTCCCTTTCCTCCAAGAAACTCTTGGTTTGGGAAACTGGGGGTTTTTACCGAGATCTCTACCGTCCCAGAAGCTGTGAGGGGTTGTGGGGTTCCTGTGAGTCCCCAACGGGCCATGGGTGTCTGCCCTGAGCTTGACACATCCCATTGTGCTGGTACTTCTGGTGGTGGTGGCGGCCTGGCAGGGAGCGGGCTGGCAGCAGGGTTGTTTAACCAACAGATGGATTCTGGTGCCACATGGTGGCTGCCCTCATCCACCAGGGGCTTCCCTGTAGGATGTTGGAAGCCGGACTGTTGGGGTGCTGTTAGCTTTGGAAACTGCCCGGAGGGGGAGGGCGTGAAGCGTGGCTTCCTCCTCAACAGGGGTCTAAAGTAAGATCCTGGATCAGGCTGAGGCCACGCTCGTCCGGGCCCTCAGTTCCACGAGAGCCACCGTCCTCTGTCCCCGGGACAGTGGGCACGTCCTCAGAGGCTCCGGGTCTCGCCCTCCCTGCCACCAGCTGTCCCGCACCCCCAAAAGTGAGCTTTCTCCTGGGAAATTTTCATATCCATTTTCGTTCCCCGACAGACTCTAAAGCAAACTTTCTAAGCTCAACTGATGAAACAAAGTCATTTTCCACTTTGTATATATTGATGCTAATAAAACAAATGAAAAAGAGAGTCAGCGTGGCAGGGTTGTTCTTTGATGTCATCATCTGCTCTCCAGGATGGGCTTGTCTCGGTTTTGGGGACCCGGGAAAGGGGACGGGGGCCCCACTGACACTCGGTGTGCCTGGATGAGACCAATGGTTCCGGGGGAAACGTTTGGTTCTGGGAAACCGTTGGTTCTGGGCAAAACAAGACTCATCTTGCAAAAAGACCAGAGACCCAGTAGAGCGGGCAGGGCGCTAGGTTGGCAAGTGGCCGGCCCAGATGGTCTCCTAACCCTCGTCCTCTCTAAATCCCGTTGCCCCGGGCCACACGATACAGACAGACTGGAGAGTCTCCAAATCTTCGAGTCCTTGGGGCTGCCTGAAAGGTTCGTGAAAGGTTCAGGTTTCTCAGAAAGAAAAAAGCAGAGCCCAGAGAAGAATCGGTCCGAAACGGGTTTATTGAAGAAGAGGAGCGTGAAGTCGCATTTTGGATTGAGTTCACAGAGAAGGACAGGAAGTCGGGGGTGGGGGGTGAGAGGTTCAGGGGAGGGCTTTCGAGAAAGTTCCATGAGTGAAAAAAAAATTCCCTGGGGGCAATAAGAAACCCCTGGGTTTAAGAGCTGATGCAGGGGGCTGGAGCAATAGCACAGTGGGTAGGGCATTTGCCTTGCACACAGCCAACCTGGGTTCAGTTCCCAGCATCCCATATGGTCCCCTGAGCACTGCCAGGAGTAACTTTTGAGTACAGAGCCAGGAGGAACCCCTGTGTATCGCCAGGTTTGACCCAAAAAGCAAAAAAGAAAAAAAAAGAGCCAATGCAGACACTTGCAGTGATGTCACGGGATCCTCCTACCCTGAGCGCCCTGTTCCAACCCAACATGGTGAACTGACCAATTCCTTTGGCAACGCATCTCTCTGCCCCACTCAGCCAGGAGCGGCCGAGAAAGGCCGAGATGCTGCTGGGAGCCCCCCACCCCGGGAAGCACCCCATGCTCCATTTTTGTGGCTCGCTCACACGCTCTGCCTCCCACTAAAAACCAGAACACACCTAAGGCCCGTGCTGTGCCCCCAGGCTCAGGCTGTGGTCCCTGCTGAGCAGCCTGGGGAGGTTCGAGGCCCCAGTGCGGGGGCAGGGGAGAGGAATTCCGGGCTGGCTGTGGTGGTGTGCCCCGCCCCCTGACCTGGGCCCTCTCTGTCCTCTTGGAGGAGGAGCAGAGGTGAGTCATCCCCTCACTGGGTAGATGACGGGGAGTGACGCTCAAGTATGTTTCTCTGGGATTGTTTTCCTGCTCTTTGCTGGCAGACCCCCAGTTTCCTTCAGAGCAATAGCGTTCGCCCCATTTCCCAAAACTAGGTCGTGGTTGAGGTCATTCTGGTTCCCGGGTTATGCATT